CTCTCTCTCTCTCTCTCTCTCTCTCTCTCTCTCTCTCTCTCTCGAACTCGCAGAGATCCACCTGCCTCTGCCTCTCGAGCGCTGGGATTAAAGGTATGCACCACCACCGCCCAGCTACTAATCATGTTTTTAAAGCACAAGAGAATAACCAAGATATTTGAGGATTGTTTCCTATTCCCCCCAAATCCAGGCCTAAGTGGTCTGTGGGTCTCCAGAATCACTAATGCTGACACGTTATATTCCAGAGCGAGATTTTAAATTTAAGCAAAACAGGTCAAAAAACAAAAAACAACAAAAAAAAAAAGAAAGAAAGAAAGAAAGAAACACAGAAACTGGACAAAAATACTCCACCTCAGCCTGTTAACAAATACGGGACAATTCAAAGAAAAATCAATTCATCACCTCTAACTGCCATAGACACAAGCATGCCCTAATGCATCATTGGGAGTGCTTTTATGTCTCTGTGTGACATTCAGGGCATGTTGTTGTTGTTAATTGATCCCCACATTTAGAGGTTTGCCATCCTAATAACCTTGTTTTACAGAAGCGAACGGCAGGAATAACCATCTCTGACTTGTTCAACCCTGTGTGCTCAGTTCCAAGTGTAGGGAAGATATGCATGCACTTGTCACGTTTCTGAACAGCAGTTCTGAACTGAAAGCCCAGGGTTGGGCACAATGCCCACAGTGGGATGACAAAAATACTTAAGATATATACTGATGACTTTGAATATATAAGATGACAGTGTAAGCAACACACACACACACACACACACACACACACACACACACACAGACATAAACCCTCACACACACCAACACACATATGTACATGCCTACATACCAGCTCCCCAAAAGCTCACCTTAGGGTTTAAAAAAATATTTATCACCAGGAGGTGGTGGCACACGCCTATAATCCCAGCACTCGAGAGGCAGAGGGAAGCGGATCTCTGTGAGTTCAAGGCCAGCCTGGTCTACAGAGGGAAATCCAGGAAAGGCACAAAGCTACACAGAGAAACCCTGTCTCAAAAACAAAGCAAACAAACAAAAAAATTATCTGCATGGTGAACAATTAACTTCTATTATCAGGAAGGCAAAAAGGAAAAAAAGAAAGAGAAAAAAAAAAAACCACCTAAGTGTTCAAAAGTAGATCATCACAGTAGATCCAGTCATGGATTAGACTTTAGCCACTAAAAATTGAAAAAGAAAAAACACTTCTTAATTTTAATTTTTATTATGTGCCTGAGTGTTTTGCCTGTGTGTGCCAAATGCTTTTAGAGGCCAGAAGATGGCATCAGATTCCCTAGAATTGAAGTTATAGACAGTTGTGACCTGTCATGTATGTGCTAGAAATTGAATGCAGGTCCTCTGGAAGAGCAACCAGTGTTCTCAAACACTAGACCATCTCTTCACCCTAACCAAAAAAAAAAAAATTAATAGAAATATAAGGATGGTTATTTCCAGGAAAATATCAAAATAGTGTTAAAAAAATGAATAATACCCAGGGTGTGCCACCAAGCTTGTTGAACCAACCCAATCTCCAGAACCCAGATGGCAGAAGGAGAAAATTCAACTCCTGGAACTTGTTCTATGACTTACACAAGCACACAAATAAATACAGTATTAAAAAAACAGTAGAGAGAGGAGGCAGAGGCAGGAGGATATCTGTGACTTCAAGGTGAGTTTGGTCTACCTACTAAGTTCTAGACCAGCAAGAGCTACAAAGTGAGATCCTGTCTAAAGAAAAAAAGAAAAGAAAAAAGGAATGAAGAGACACTGTGTGAGGCCGAGACTTGCAAAGGTGTGACTTTTTTGCTCCAATATGCAGCACACGCAGGAGGAGAAGCTGGTGCACTGGATGTGGTGTGGCATGCCTCTGGCTCCAGCGTGGGGAAGAAAAGATGCAGAATTATAGTTATCTGATACTATGGGGTTTGAACATAGCGTGGGAGACTAAAGAACCAGGTCCATTCTACAAGTCGGAAAGCTATGTGATGTTTCAAATAAGATGAACGCTCAGAAGCTATCTACTGTTGTAGCTCCAAGTCCAATCCCCAAAAAAGTAAAAATGCTTAGGAGTCAAATGCATGGCATCTCCGTCCATACCTTCCTAAACATTGTGTGGAGCAAATGAAGACATTTCTTCATGCATTATCACAGTACAACAGACTGGAGCTGCTTCCTCAAATTGCTGTGACTCATCCTGCTGAGCTCCAGGATTGAAAACAATCATCCCTCCAATGGGGCCTTCTCAGCACAGAGGTCAAGCAAGTTCCCATCCCGTGCAGAATCAGAACTTCAGATTTGCCTCACACAGCTCCCTAAAATGAAGCTTTAGTGTTCTCTCACAGCTTTTAAAGATACTATGTGTGGGTGCCAGATTTTAATATATCCTTCCAGAGCTACCTGTGCTGGGCGATGGAGTCGCTTTGGACCCTTGTACATAGCCAAGCTGCCTGGAGCTTAACAAGCACAATGAGAAAGAAAAAGAGCAGCCTTGGGAAAGCTTCTGCTACGAGGCCTTGCTCCCAAACCTGTGTATTACCCAATATAAACATTACCACAGATGTTTCCGGAAGAGGGAAGCCAACAGACATTACAGAGGACTTTCACTTTTGTTGTAACTCTAAAGATACAATTAATGACCAGTGCCCAGGATTCAATATTGAATTAAGTACATGCAGAAAAGTATGGCCTGAGGCTATATGAGCATTAATGGTCTAATGAAAACCATTTTAAAAGTATATTACACACTGGAATAATGTCTCCCTCCAAACAGCCAAAATCCTTAACATATATACCTCATGAGCAAATTCCATCCACATGGCTGAGGGGAGTGGCATGACCTTAAAGGGATGTACTCACCGTGTGCATTAAAGAAATAGAAACCATAGATAATGTTTCAATTATGCTGACAGGTCAAAGAATACGGATAGTAATATTGAAAATGACAGTTTTCTGTAGGGCACGAAAATCACTTGTGAGAAAAGCACGTTCTCCTTTGATTTGCTAATCAGTTCTATAGGGAGGCATCCTCGGTGCTGCACTGCCGAGGAGCAGCGAAGAAGGTCATATTTGATTTTCTCTGCTAGTGGTGAGAGAAAAGCTGAGGGAAAAAAAAATCACACATATCAAAGACATAGGGCAGAGCTAATTTAGAGTCTACAGCAAGGTAGACCAGTAGACCAGGGTCAGTGCCACTCGATCCTATGAACAAAATCATGACTGCAGCCACAGCTGAATCTGAACACACTAAGGCATGATCTGCCCCAGGGAGGACACCAGCTGCTGGAGACTGGTGACTGTGACCGCTCAAACACAGCAGATTGGACGCCTTCTTCCTTCGGTCACCTCTGGAAAGACAGCTCTTTCTCTCTACCGCCCCAAAGGGCTCATAGTCAGAGGCCACGGCCCTTCTGACTTCTCCCATCTCCGTCAGCTGCTCAGAGGTTTCCTCTCGGTGCTGCTACATCAACTCCCCTGCCAAAGCAACCCATTCCCAGTGGCACAGCTGTCCTCCAACAGGAAGCAGGTAGTCCCAGACGACTATGGTACAACACAGTCTAACTTTTGAACTTCAAATTAATTTATTTTTATGTGTATGGGTTTTTTGACTGAGTGTATGTGTCTGCACCACACGTGTGTAATGCCCCAGGAGGGTGGAAGAGGGTATCAGATTCCCTGGGACTGGAGGTGTAGACAGTTGAGTCACCATGTGGGTGCTGGGAAAAGAACCTAGGTCCTCTAGAAGAACAGCCAGTGCACTTAACTGATGAGCTGTTTGTCCAGTCCCATTAACCTACCTTTTTAAAGGTCAGCCACACCCTTATGCTTCCCTTAACCATGAGAGATGGCTGACTGGGATGTCATGGAACTAGACTGCAGGATCTTGAAAAGGGATAAAGTACAACCATTATCAGTGCTGGGCCCCATGCTTCTGCTAATCAGTGCTAGGCTCCCTCACTTCTTCTGTTTAAAGGAGAAATCCAGGCAATGCAGGCCTGAATAGCATTAGTCCTAGAGAGCATTTCTAGAGAACCTGGACCAGTGGACTGAGTAGAGAAGATCCGCTCTCAGGTGGACCAGCATCATCTGTCACCAAGGGCTTATTTGGGGCAAAAATGCAGTCTGGACACATTCTTGCTTTGCCTTCTAGACAATTCCAGGTTCTTCAAGCCTCTTATCTCGACTGTCTGTCACAGAATCCAAGCTCTCAGCCTGAGTGTGACACCAAGAACTTGCCAAGGCCAGGGCCTGTGGGCTTGGAGGGAGCCAGAAAATGAGTTTTTCTGTGGCTTTGTCATCTGCAGACAGCTCAGGCTTCATGGGCACGTGGAGATTGTCAAAGGCCTGCGCTCATCCGCTCCTTTTGCCTTACTATCCTCAGCTCACTTGCCGGCCCATTACATCAGTTCCTGTCCATCTCACTAAACTGGCCACATCAATTCCCCAGGTGCACATACTTCCAGCCTGATGCAAAGCATGCTGGGACCTCATCATCCCGAGGAGCACACACACAGCCGAGCACCCTCCATCCTGGAAACTGCCGTCACTAATTTGATTTGCGGTACAGTGTGCCCTTCACTTTCTTCCTGTGGCCTACTAATCAGTGTCCTTTGCTGGCTCCTCTCTCTGACCTCCAAATGTCAGCCTCCAGGTTAGCTTCTGAGCCTGTTACCTCTCCACACTGTATGATCTCATCCACTCCGTGACTTAAATGCCACGTTGTGTTCATGCCTCCAGAATTTACATA